GGAAGAGAGGAAGAGGCTCTCACACTGCTCTGGGGCCAGGGGCGATGTGTTCAGCGTGGATGGGAATGAGCTGCTGGGTTGGAAGCCACACCGACGACACTGCCAGAGGTGAGATTAACTGCTTGCAGTGTCATCCATCAGTGCCCAGAAGTGTCACCCATCAGTGCCCAGCAGTGTCGCCTGTCAGTGCTGCCCAGCAGTGCCACCTGTCAGTGTCCAGCAGTGTCGCCCATCAGTGCCACCCATCAATGATGCCCAGCAGTGCCGCCGATCAGTGCCGTCTGTCAGTGCCTCCAGTTGGTGCTATCAGTCAGTGCCGCTTATCAGTGCCCATCATTGCTGCATATCAGTGCATCATCAGTGCCTCCTCATCAATGCCCACCAGTGCCGCCTCATCAGTGCTACCTATCTGTGCCGCCTCATCAATGCCCATCAGTGCTGCCTATTAGTGCAGCCTCACCAATGCACATCAAAGAAGAAATATTACCTGTTTGCAAAATTTTATAATAGAAGCAAAGAAAACCTTTTATGTTTTAAATTTTTTGCTCTTTTTTCATTTATAATGGAAAAAATAAAACACCCAGTGGTGATTAAATACCACCAAAAAAAGCTCTATTTGTGTGCAAAAAATGAGTGTTGCATGACCGCACAATTGTCATTGTCAAGTGCAACAGCACTGAAAGCTGAAAATTGGTCTGGGCAGGAAGGGGGTAGAAGTGCCCGATAGGCAAGTGGTTAATTGCAGTGTTGGCACTTTGAAATAAAAAAGTTGGTTTTGTGTTGCAGTTTTGGGCACTCGGGCTCAAAAAGGTTCGCCATCACTGCCCTAGAGAATAAAATAGTGGTAGTTCCATTTTTTTATGCCACATGATTTTAGCACAACAGTTTAACCACTTCCAGTCCGGGCACTTTTACCCCCTTCCTGTCCAGGCCAATTTTCAGCTTTCAGTGCTGCAACACTTTGAATGACAATTGAGCAGTCATGCAACACTGTACTCATATGAATTTTTTAGCATTTTTTGAGACAGATAAAACATTTTTTTGGTGCTATTTATTCACCACTGGGATTTTTATTTTTTTTGCTCTATAAATGAAAAAGTCAAAAAAAGTTTTAAAAAGTGTTCTTCTTATAAAATTTTGCAAATAAATAATCTTTCTTCATAAATCTTGGCCAAAATGCATTCAGCTATCTTTTTATTTAAAACATAACCCAAATTAGTTTATAACCAAAAATGATAATTTTTCTGTTTTTCTGGTTTTATTTTATTTGTTTATATTAATATTTATGTTTTTTTTTTTTAACATACTGTCACCCTAGCAGTACAGTGTCACCATAGTGACACTGTACTACTTGTGGGGGGTGATGAAGATTTTTTCTTTTTACACTGATTGCTTTTACACCCATAAAGCCTCTAAAAGCAATCATTTCTCCTTCTCTCTGACTACATTCTTGCAGCCATTGAGAAATACTGTGAGAGCTGTGATTGGTCACATGGTACAAGGCTGTTGTGAATAGCTTTGTACCATGTGATCTCTGTGATCATTCACAGATTTCACACCTAGTAAGCAATGATGTCAGAAGTGACATCTTGCTTACTACTATTCATGTGATCACTGATTGGCCAATCAGTGATCACATGATTGGGACCTCACACAGAGGAGCGTGGAAAGGCTGAAAATGCGGGCAACCCACTCCTGCACTGCTCCTGTCCGGCCGTTTATATACATGGGCCGGACGGGAAATGGTTAATGAAATGCAACATTTTAGTTAAAAATACACTAAGGTTAATTTTAGGGCACGTAATTGCAATATATTACCTCATTTTTTGTAAAATATAAAAGATGAGTTTACACTAAGTAAATAAATACTCAGCATGTCAAGCCTTAAATTTGCATGCACCTCAAAAAAGGCAAAAAACATCTGTATTTTATATAGTTCATAGGCAACACTTTAAAAGCCCCTACAGGTCATCAGTTTAGGCCTCATGCGCACTGGGCATTAAAAATGCCACTTTTAGGAGCGTTTAGCTTTTTTTGTGCTTCTAAATGGCCCTCAGAGCACCTTTTTGAAAGTTTTTTTTTCTTTATCTTAACCACTTGCCTACCAGAAACCTTTACGCCCTTTGTGCCCAGGCCAATTTTCAGCTTTGAATGACAATTGCGCGGTCATGCAACATTGTACCTATATGAAATTTGCTGGGCACTGGTGGGCGGCACTGATGATCAGCGTTCTGGGAGGAAGTCATATAACACCTTCCCAGAACTGGACAACAGCGCTGTAGCCATCATTCGGCTATAGTGCGGTTGTAAAGTGGTTAATGTAGGGAATGCATTAAAGAATGTTTACCTTTTCATAATATGTTACACGTTACACCCATATTCAGGGTGTAACATGTTATGATCTGACCTGCTCCCACTCACCACATTGACAGCTAGCAGGGGATTTTCTCCCCCCTTGCTAGCTGTCAAATTTTTTAAAAAACGTGGACGTGCGGGAATGAATGAATGTGAGACTACATTTCCCGACAGCCTTAGCGGCTTTTGGCTTGTAGTCTTCAATGAACTGCCACAACTCTGTGGAGCGCCATGGTAGTTCATTGATTCTTCCTGTCGGTATATATTTTTGCTCGTACATCCCGTAGGGGCAAGCAGATATACTGACAGATCTGCAGGAGACCTGCATGGCACCAGCAATCTACTAATCACTGGTGCAATGCTTTACAGGCTCCTGCAGAAAAAAATAATAAATGCACATTTTTCTTACCTGCAAAAAAGTGTGAGTTTATTATTTTTTACTAAAAGGTGAACTTATCCTTTAAGGCAGTGGTCTCCAAACTGCAGCCCGAGGGCCGGTTGTGGCCCTTTGCCAGCCTTTATCTGGTCCATGGGGCACGATTCCTCCCAATGATATGAGGTACTATTCCTCCCACTGACACCAACAAAGGGACACTATTTCTTACACTGATACCAATGCTGGGGCATTATTCCTCCTATTAAATACTAATGATAGGTTTTCATGGGAGGAATAGTACCCCATGTTTATTTTCACTGATGCTGGGCCTGGGGCATTCTCTACCTCCACTGGTCACAATCAGGCCCTCCTAAATTATGAAGGACAGTAAACTGGCCCTTTGTTTGAAAAGTTTGGAGACCCCTGCTTTAAGGTAAAAAAAAACCTTTTACCTTTACAACCACTTTAGGAACCACTTGCTCCTAATTCAGGCAAGCATATGTGCCAGTGTTGTAACATTACCAACACATGAGGCAAATTCAGGGAGTTCTCATGGCCACAACCAACACTAAGAATCTGTCACTGTCGAAGAGCAACTCTGAGCCGATATTCACTGGTCTGCCAGTACTCATGTCTGTACTGGGAAGCTGTCATAAATTTGATACCATTCAAACAAAACTTCTTGGCCATGTGCCAGTCAGTGTGGGCACAGTGAGGGGGAAGGGAGTGCCCTTAGGAAGGAGTGTCCAGTAGGAACACTCAAACCTCAGTTCGACCTCTGACCTCATCTGCCCCCGAAACATTCAGTGCTGTGCCCCGACAGAATTCTGAAAGGTGGCCATGACACACTTCATAAACTCACCAGGGTACATCCCCTTTGCAATAAAGTCTGTCCGCTGGCTTTTTTTTTTCTAGTTAGTCATTGACCTGAAACAAGTAGGCAGAGAAGAACTTTGACTTTTTGCTGATTTTTACAATCTGTGGTGTGTGACTTTAAATGTATGAATCTATTGGGTTAAAATAGTTTTGCAACTGGCAGGTTTGGGTGGAAGTTAGCCCTTATCTCCTGTGGCATTTTAAAACATCAGCAAACTCTTATTAGGGCTACAGCACTGATGGTATTAAAGTATAACTACAGGCAAAATCTTTTTTTTTTTTTTTAATTTGGATAGAGTGCAGAGGGATTAAAGCCCCTGTCAGTTTTTGTTGCTCTGTGCCTTAGTTTAGGAGAATCCCCATCTCTATTTGTCATGTTTACCATTAGCCTTGAAAGTAAAAGTAAAGAAAATCCCAAATTTTGGTTGTCCCTTTAACAAACGCAGGTCAGACCACTGCCATTTTCACCAACTGGTCAACCTCACACCGCGCTTTTACTGATTCACAAGAGTGGCACTCTCAGCCTCACCCTGCACAAAGATTTTCCAGCTTGCAGGACCACAATTTGGGTACCAACAGACTAAAAGTGATTGTCACTGGGTTTAGTTAACTAAGCAGTTACCCCTTTAAACTTCCACCAGCTACTTTTTTCAAGAAGTAGTAAACATTTACAATATTAGCAGTAGCAATTATGACTTAAACATCTGTGCACACACTGTCACCACAGACAGGTATATCCAGAGATTTACCATGTAGTAGGACTCTTCAAGAAACAGGAATTCTTTAAGTTAGCGTTGCACCGATACCAGTATTGGTGCCGATGCAAAGAATTTGCACAAATACCTGTACTTGTGCTAATGCTCCGATACTAAAAACCAATACCTTTAAGTTTGCTGACTGTAACCGCTGCCTTTATGGAGAGAAACGCAGGAGGATGTTGCGTTAGGGTGGCTTCTGGAAATTTGATGTCACGTCAATCAGGGTGCTGCAGTGTGAGACATTACATCCGGACCTCAAAAACTCCGGACCACAAGTATTCTTGGTCTTACAAAACTGATACCGGTGCATTACTACTTTGAATTTTGCATTAGGGCATGAGAGACAATTTTAACACTTTTCAAAATATGGTTTACTAATGAAAAGGTACAAAAAAAATGGTGTAAATAAAATATATACAGGAAAAAATATAATGGTAATAAAGAGACAGCACTGTAACAGCCAAATAGGGTTGAAAAATGCCAACACTTATCAAGTACTCTTTCAGCAGACGTCTATCAATGAGCAAAATGGTACAATGGCCCTCATAACTTGACAGATCTTCCTTCTTTTGATAGTTCAGGAGAGCTGTCAAATGTGATTGCAGTCCCCTTTTCTGGACCTAGATAGAGTGTTGACCAGGGGTGGACTGACCATTTGGAAACTAGGGCACTGCCCGAGGGCCCAGGGTCAGTAGGGGGCCCCATGAGATGCCCCTGGTACCTTTTTCATAGGCTTTTTTGAGCTTGGGCAATGGCACAGGGGCCCCATGATCCCCTATTGCCTGGGGGCCCCATGAGTTGTCAGTCCGCCCATGGTGTTGAAAGAAATCAGTTGACCAATCATCTGGTCTAAGTTGTGGCTGCTGGGATGTCACTGTTTTTATGACCATGTCCCAGATACAGTTTTCTATAGGTATTAATATCTTTGAATACCTACATGTTACAGTCCACTAACTTGTATATTATTGTCCATTTTGCGATTATCTTTTGAATGGATATAAATATGACAGGTTTTGGATGCCCAGTTCACCTAGGATAAAAACTAGTCCAGTTCTGCTCCCAGTACTCTTGGGGTAGCGGTGTTTGGGCTCACAACGCTACTAATTTACTTAAGGAGGTAAATATGTAATTTTTCTGGCTGTACTGATAATTCAGAAATTATGAAATACACTGGGGGGGTTATTGATTCTACCAGGAGAGAGAGACAGAAATGTGTTTTGCTAAAGACTCCAGCTAAGGTTTTTACAATGGGAGTGATCTGGCAAGATATCTGATTGTTTTTCTGACTGCTCACGCTTTCAAGTATGACGGTTTTATGAGGGGCCCCTAGACTGAAATGTGGATTCAGGTAATAGGCAAGAGAGGGTATGTATGTTTGAGTGTTGGGGGGGGGGGGGGTTGGCAGTCACAGCAGCTATGTCTCTTATTCTGAACTGATGGCATGGGGGAACTGAGACCCGAATAGCATGACTGCCGCATACAGCATTTTGTGTGGGGACAAATGGGGACGCTAGTTCTGGTGACCTGGGGGTCCCCAAGGGATTTCCTTAATTTGCAGGGATTTACTTTAATTTCCTGGCTGCCTATGGGACAAGAAGTGAATGGAAATCTCCGAAATGAGACACAGCCCGAAAAAAAAATTCTGACAGGGTTATAACCCTCCCTTACTATATTCAAAATGGGAAAAAAAAGTTTTGCCTTTAGTTCTACTTTAATATATAGCGTGAAATAAAAGTGAGGAACGTTAGCATGTTTATTTTAAACATCTGATCATGCAAAGAAGAAATTCTAGCTTTTAATATTTCCTGCACATGACTGGGTGTTTAAAGGGAACACAGGATCATTTTACCCCATTGTTAATGGTAAATCTGTCCAGCAGTTTACTCTTTAGTAAAATAGTGATAATAAAAATAAATGTCTGTTTTTATTTCTCAAAAACAGAGACAGTACCACCAGACACAACAACAGAAACGCTTACATCGAAGAACCCTCCATTTGAACCTCAGTGCTCTGACATTCATGTAGATTCCAGGATAGACTGTCATCCAGAGGAGGGAGCTTCAGAGGTAAGCGCCATCAAGTTTTTAGTGATACAGTGATATATATGATTTTCATTACTTTAAATGACTTTGCACAATCAAGCAGATTATAGTTATTATTATAGTCAGGATTTATATAGAATCAACAGTTTGTGCAGAGTTTTACAATATAAAGGGGGACAGTACAATTACAATACATTCAATACTGAAGGAAAGATGAGGTGCATCTAAAAGAGACATAAAGTTCTCAGCTGAGTGCCGATTCACACCATGCTGCTCTTTTTAAAAACGCACTGCAATAGAGTCGCATGGCACATAAGTACCATGTGATCAGGTTTGGGCAAACGCGTGTTGCGAATTGTGTTTGGGGTGTCGTTTGTATTGACACACACTGCAGATCGCAAATGGAATGTGTTTTGCAACAGTGTGAATTGCACAAGAACACAAAGCTTGTTCCTGTGCGATTCATGTGCGGGTATGGCATGATCCGGCCCTAAACCAGAATCACATTAGTCTTGCATCACAAATAAAAATAATAATTAAAAAAAAACCTATAAGGGTTTAGCCCTTACTTTAGAATTATGGACAAAGCTATGCAGACTATAGATTTTTGCTCCTGGGCCAATTGAACATCCTAAACCAATGGTTTGCTAAACAGATACATCCTAATATTATACAGCCATTTATTCAGACCTCATACAGCTGTTCTAGGTTGCTGGCTTTTTTTAGTGAATGTTATGGCCATAAACAGACAGGATATGGTAAGGTGGATGTAAAGTGGTTCTAAAGGCAGGAAGTTTTTACCTTAAAGCATTCTCTGCATTAAGGTAAATAACCTTCTGCATGTAGCTCCCCTCACAGCCCCTCTAAAAACATACCTGAGCCCCATCTCGATCCAGAGAGGTGCAACAGAGTGGCATCTCCCTCCTCATTGGACAGAGAGGCAGCAGCAGCAGCCATGGGGGTTCTGCTGCTGACAATCACAGTCTGTGAGGAGAAAGCAGGGGTGTGCCTGAGCCACGCTCTCTGTGTCAATGGGAACACAGATCCAACTCAGGAGTGAGCACGCACATGTGCCTCCATAGCAAGCAGCATGCTAAGGGGAAGTCTGTAGGGGACAGGTGCCTGGAGCGCCGGCGGGAGATCCAAGACAAGGAGGACTGGGGCTGCTCTGTGCAAACCCATTGCGGAGAGCACATAAATATAACATGTTTGTTATATAAAAAAAATAGCCTTTAGCATCACTTTAAACAAACAAAATAGCCCTTCACTAAATCAGTGAAAAAAACACAACAAAGAGAATTTAATGAAGCATTCATGACACTTTTCTGGAGGTATGGTCCATTTAAAAAGTCTGCTCCAAATTCATGAAAGCCTTGCCACAGTTTCTGTAACACTTCTAACACATTCTAACACATGCAACAGATTCAGATTGTACCTTTTTTTTTTAAACAACTTTAACAAATAAAAAAGAATTATCACCAGTTCATAGGCTAGGAAACTATATGTAAATAGGACTGAAACTAAGGTGGCTTACAGAGACAGGCCAGAGTTATTAGAGTGGGACTACTGTCTATGAAAGTGGTTGTGTGCGTGTGTGTGTGTATATATATATATATATATATATATATATATATATATATATATTTATATACACAGTGCTGTGAAAAAGTATTAACCCCCTTCTGATTTTTTTTTGTTGTTGCATATTTCTCACACTTAAATGATTCAGATCATCAGAAAATTATAATATTACACATTCACATAACCATTTCCAAAAGGTAAACAAGTCTGTTGCAAGCACCAACATTCGTCGTGTAGAGGCGTGTATCAGAACACAGAGCACTGTTTATGAATTCTGGAGAGTATCTTTAAATAAGAAGTGTAACTTTATTTTTTGGATTTGTGATGAAAGCAAGAGATGTGTAGGTACTTTCTGTTATCAAAAGGCCCTTCTTGCATTTGCATTTAATTAAACACAGTTTCGAAAAACCTACAATTTTATTTTTTATTGTTTTAACTATTTTTTCTTGTATTGTTTTATGTGCCTAAGTTCTTAGTGTTGACTGTTCCAGTCAAAATAAAGAAACAACTTTGAAATATGCACAAGGAACACAGCCTCTTACTGCTACAACTTTTCATGCAAGTAGAGCTTTATTAGATCAGCCCCAAACCCCCAATGGCAACATCTACATAAAATCAATAATAATATGCATTAACAAAGGCCCCCTTAATAGTTAGGAGTGATCTGCTTTGTGTCCTATGCTGTGTCTGTGACAGACACAGCACTGACAAGTTCAGCTGGTGCTGTATGCTCCAATTCATTTGCTTGCCACCCTGCTTAACTGAGCGTGAGAGGGTGAGGAGGGTCCTGGTTTTTTAACCTTGTAGAATTTGCTTATACGCTGTAATAACTGCAAAAGCAGAAAGAGAGGGATGTGAGCTGCCTGCACAGTTTACATCCCACATGCCAGGTCCAACCTGACAGGTTTCTGCAGCAGTTTTCTATACTGAAAACTGCCACAATCCTTTTGTTAATTAGGAGCAGACCCTGCACCAATTTCTATTCCACTCTTAAACAGAAACTGGCATCAGAGGTGCAGATAGACCTTAAAGCAGTATTAAACCCAAAAGCAAACATTATATTGTGGCTTACCAGTTCATAGATGTGGTGGCTGCATTGATTTTCTTATTTTAGGCTTTCTTTCCTTTATTTTCACCTGGCAATCTGGTAAATCTGTTGTTTCTCAGCAGAACAAGCTCTGCTAAAATGTACCAGTTACAGGGATGAGACAAACCATTTACCACTGACTGGGGTTCTTACAAAGATCAGCTTTTATTATTATTATTCATGTAAATTCTTCATCCCAATATAGGGAGATAAAAACTGTTGCTATAACTGCTTGCATAACAGCAGTGGGAGCTCTGGAGTTTGACTATAGGGTGTTAAAGCCCTTTCATATGGGCGAACCGATCGGATTTGCCTGTCCATTTTTCAGATGGGCCCACTCAGACCATCCATTGCCCTCTAAGGAGCGGTGGATGTAAATGCACTTGTGTCCATTTACACCCGCCTGCATCCAATCCAATCAAAACAGACAGATGGGGATCTGTTCTCCATCCATCTAGTGGATTGGATCAGATGACAGTCAGATGTAAATGGACAGGTGGTACATTTACATCCAATTGCCCATAGTGGACAGCAGGCTGTGTTTGTGTTTGCTTTGCATATGCAGAGCGGATGCAGACCTGACATCTGCTTGCTCAGCGAGCAGGCGGATCTACTGGCGAAGACCGTATGTGTGTATCTAAATCTGCTAGTACATCTACCACTCCCCTCACCCCAGACTGACAAGACTTCCCTGCAAAGGAGCCCCTGTGCTCCTTCATCCTGAGCGAATCATAATGTAGCCACCACATCTAATGATTGGTAAGCTGCAATATACAGTATGACTTTTTGGTTTTGAGTTTAATACTGCTTTAAATAGGACTCTCTGCTTAGGTAATGTGTCTCACAGAAACCAGTTGTAATGGCTCTGGGACCTTCTTTAATTCCCAAAGTTGTTTTTAGGAGCAACAATGCTTAAAGCCAAACTTTTTTGCCTTGGGTCTTGAGATAGAGGGGAGAAGGGGTAGTCCCCTTATCAGTGTTCTATTGTTATTGTTTTGTCCCTTTTGGGTACATTTCCTATCTATTTTTCTTGGTGACCAATGTTACTCAGACTAAAAGCTAGAAAAAAAATCAATTTTAGTTGTCACCCAAGTAGGAATAGAGTGAAACACTTCTACTCGTGACACCTGTTCA